TAGCTTTTGTTCACAGGGTTGCAAAACTTGATTAATCATCTTTATATGATACCTTTTTCGATAAAATGTTTTCCTTAATGTATATCATTACTTCCTCCGTCCTCCTAATTAATGTTGGATAGAAAATATTGTTGTAAAGAAGTTGATATATAAAAGGTGAGAGGAACACAAAAACCATGTGAAACTGTTGTTGAAATACATTTATAGTCCACTTGTAAATGTCCTATATTGGAGAATAAAGAAAGATGGTACTACTTAATAAGCTAGAGGAGTTAGTCTTGCTATCGCCAATTGGCCTGGTTTTAGTATGAAAGGGTTTCACAGAACTCTCCTCCTCATTGCATAGGTTGTCAAGGTCAGTTTGATGAAACATTTAGAAACCGAGGAAGTATTAAGAAAATGTTATGAATTTAGCATTTTAAAAAGATAACTAATTGGAGAGATTACTATTATTTAATAAAATAATGTTACACTTCTTTAAATGGTTACGTTAGTTTGAGTCGTGCTAGGTTCATGCTCGTTACCCTACTAAAAAAAAAAATCATTCCATGTATTAATTAATTAATCAAGAATAGTGAAAATGTAGGAAAAAAAAAAAAAAAAAAGAGGTTTTATTGGACTATTGCCCTATTGGTCCCAACTCCCAACTCTATAATGAAAATTGAAAAAAAATAAAATAAAATTATACTTAAGAAAATACTCTGTATATTTTTATAACATTGTCTGTAGAATTAATTTTTTATTAGGTGAAATTACACTCATTGACATGAACTAATTATGGCTCATCAACTACAAACATTGACACGAACTTATGTACATACAAAAATTAAGACATGAACTTAATTAATAAAGCTAAAAACGTCACCAGAATTGTCGTTCACTACAAATTTCTTGCCATTGAGTGAATTTAGTATGATGTTTATGTCATTGAGTTCCTTAAGTGTCCAAGTTCATGTAAAAGGATGTAGTTGAGTCATAGTTCATGTCAATTAGTGTAATTTTGCCTTTATATTATATTGTTACATAAATTAATCTCAATTTATTTTGGGAAAATGTTAGGAAAATTTACGGAGTTGAGATTAAGTGGTAGCAAAGGAGGGAGGGGTGGGAGACATGGGAGTGAGACTTGTTAGATCTCATTAACGGAAATAGTAATTAAAAGTGTTAAGTGGTAGCAATTTTTAACAAACTTGTTTTTGTATGGTAGTAAAATAATAAAAAAAAATAGTAATAATAAAAAATAATAATAATAAAATTCCGGTAATAAAAGTGAAACACGTGTGTTTTACTGGTAGCAAAAGTAATGTTAAAACAAAATCAAACCAAATAGGGCTTTGCCTTTAATTAGTATGTACAAATGTACAATTATACTTTTTGAAGGAAACTCAACTAAAAAAAGAAGAATTTAACAATTACTATTTTGGGACTGTGGCTAATTTAATCGAAGTGACAGATGATTAAGTGAAATCGACCATGTAGTGTATCTTTGGCCTACAGGCACCCTTCCAACCGAGCTTAGGCTATCATAAAATAACCAACTCAATGTTACTACTTTTAATTGAGGACAACCCCTAATTGAGGGGTCTTAATTGAGCACTAAGATATACATGTTTGTATTAGTGGTCAATTACCTTGATTGAACACCACAAATAAATCTTTAGCTTTTGCTTAATATTCTGATTAGGTCTCAAAGCCACATCAAATTGCAATGACTATTGATGGAATATTGGGTCCCTAACTTTTTTAAAACCAGTTTAGTTGATGGTATTTGTTGAGTTTTTATGATTATATTGTGGAATTTGATCCGACTCTTTTAAAGCTTGGTTTAGATTCTTCAACTATTTCATCATGCTCTTATGCGACTGTTACATACTAGTGTTGACATCGAAATTTTGTTAATTTTTAAATAATATCAAAAAAGAATATAAGATATTTATCTTTAGAATCTCATAAATAATTATCTTTACACTACGACACTCTATATAAAAAGAGTCGTTTCTAGGGTTTAATTAGGCTTAGATGAAACAAGTCACAAAGACCCCATCTCCTCCCTACTACCAAACATTGTAGGTACACAGTTAATAATAATAATAATAATAATAATAATAATAATAATAAATGAGCTCATTTGACTAATCTAGACACTTAATTTAAAAAGTCCATTATATCAATTGTTTGGTAAAAAGTTGATTCAACGAGCTTGTATGCTCTTATTGCTCAACCCTCTAATTTCTAAAGGAAAAAAAAAAAAAGTAAAAAAGAAGAGAGAGAGAGAGAGAGAGAGAGAGAGAGAGAGAGAGAGAGAGAGAGAGAGAGAGAGAGAGAGAGAGAGAGAGAGAGAGAGAGAAAAGAAAATACTTTTTAAGGTTCAGCTCGGCTGTAATCTTAAGTAATTGACAACTTTGTGTTATACACCAAGTACCAACCTAATATGTATACTACCTTGTTCTAGTGGTATCTTGATAAAACCCTAACATGTTAATCAAATAATAATGATCATTAAACTAATATCGATATGCTTTTCATATGTATAGAATAGAGATTTTACTTAATGTCAATCTAAAATTGCCAATTAAGGATGTAAATGACGTTGTCAATCTAATTGCAATATGTGATCCACATGTCTTTTACTTAGTATAATAGTGATGGCTTGCTTAATTGTATGGGCGTCACGCCGTCACATATGATATAAACGGAAACAACCTTTTTTCGAATATATATTGTTATGATTTAGAGTGGAACTAATTGCAATCCATAGCCACAACAACAATGAACAAATAAGTAAGCAATCAATCAATGAAGAAATAAACAAAGTAAGTGAAGACGATGTAACTATGAAAAAAATTGAGAACCGATAGAAAAAACCCACTTTGCACAGACGCAATCCTTTACCTTGCGCATATTTTAAATGTTTGAATTGTATATATCATTATTCTAGAAAAAAAAATAAAAATAAAAAATAAATAAAAGACTTGTTTCAATAATGTTAATTAGCTTATTAGACTATAGAGATATGTACTATTTATGGCTTGTATATAGGGTTGTAATTAGAGTAATAACTATCTATCTTTTGGGTGTTTAAAGAGCCATAAGGGCGGGGGTGAGAATCGATCCCAGGATCTCCTAGAATCGGGAGGGAAGCTCTAACCACTTGAGTTATCCCTCACTCTCAATAACTATCTATCTTTTATCCTTTGTTGGGTTGTAAAGGTTTATATATTCCAATGAAATCACTAATTCTATATGTCTAGGAGAATTAAGCAGGCCACTCTCTGATGTGGTATCAAAATTCTAAACAATCCTATCAAACCCTACTTTGATCTCTCATCTCATGCCATTTTGCATTACAGTTTGTATATAATATGCCATTTTGAGTTGTCTCTTCATAAGATAAATTTGATAATGTAATATGATACCTTGGATTTCCTCTCAACTTGAAATTTTTTGCATAAACACGAGTGCAAATAAAGATGATTATATAAGCAATAATAATCATCAGAATGATAAAGCAAAATTTAACCTTGGGTGTTTTAAGAGAATTTCTCTTCTAAAGTAGTTTTTTTCCCCTTTTATTCCCATTTAAGGGATCTTTTTTGGGCTTTTATTCCCCTTAAGCACTCTCTTTTTGACTTGTTACTTGTACCAGAATCAACAAAATAATAATAATAATAATAATAATAATAATAATAATAATAAAGTAAGAATATAACTCCTCACCGAGGTGGAAAAGGCAAAAAAAAAAAAAAAAAAAAAAAAAAAAAAAAAAAAAAAAACCTAGCCTCCTTTTCTCTCTTCTCTCTCCTAAACCTAGTCTCCATTGTCAATTTTAAAGGGGCTTCCATCGGATTTCACCGGTGGAAAGCCCCAATCTTTATTTTTCTTTTAAGCTTTTTGTTTAGGTTACAATAATGTCTCCCTCGAAAGAAAGGATTTATCTCCTTCGAAAGGCAAGGTTTTTTCGATCTCCTTCGAAAGACAATGTTTTTCGGATTCCTTCGAAAGACAAGGTTTTATTTGCGCTTAATTTGGTCTCCGGTTGTGCGGGGCTACCATTGATTATGGCTCGGATTCGGGTTACGGAATCAACACAAGAATTTACTTTCTCACAAAATTGTGAAGCGACAACGAATCCACTCAAAAAGTTGTATGAGACAACGAATCGAGAATATGTCGAATTGTTATATTTATGTATTTGGATTCTTAGCCCTTCCCCGATTAATTCTTGTTTGATTTTGTTAAATTCGTTTTCATTATCGTTCATTGTCAATTGTAGATGTCGTATGGCTTATATTAATGAAATTTAGCGTCCTTTAATTAGGACTTCTTTAAAAAATAATAATAATAATAATAATAATAATAATAATAATAATAATAATAATAATAATAATAAAGTAAATAGGGTTGTGTTCTTTTCATTTGAGTTCGATTTATCTAAACTAAACCGAACTTATTAGAGTTGATCTGAACTGAACTGAATATTTTATGAGAGAAGGAAATTAGGAGCTGAATTGAACTGAACTTATTAGAAATGAATTGAACTGAACTGAATATTTTATGAGAGAAGAAAATTAAGAGCTGAACTAAAATGAACTGAACTTATTAGAGCTGAACTGAACTGAACTGAAAATAATCTGATGAGAACAGGGCCTTATTTGCTCTTAACGATTTGAGCTTGTACACCATCCAAGCACTAGCGGTGGTGCTATAATTATTAATTAACTGTTAACCTCATAGATAAAACATGTAAAACACCACAAATTGAAGACAGCTAGATAGTAACTTTAAACTGTACTATATATAGGAAATAAAGTGTGTTTATCGTTCATTCCTTAATTAATTCACCTAATATAACAACACCGTAGAATTATACACAATAATCACCCATCAAATCATATAATGCTGATTGATGTACAATCATGTCCATCTAATTAGTACAAATATATATGGCCTCACTGTATTAGGTGGGATATTAGGATAATCACTTTAGAAAAAGAACTATCAACTACCTTTCTATATATTGTCAAATCTGTCATGCCCTATCTTTTTGCTAATCACATTTTTTCCTTAAGAAAAACCATGAGTAGAGGTGAAAGTTATGGTGGTGGGCAAAGCTCCTTGGGCTACTTGTTTGGCTCGAAAGAAGGGCAACCGGCGAATAACCCTCCTCCATCACCATCTAAGGCTATAAACCCGCCTTATGGTACCGACATAGAAGAAGAAAATTCCTCTCCACAAAAGGTAGACAACACCAACAATAACTATCATAGAGCACAAGGCCCTAATTCAGGAAATTTCATCACTGTGAGTACTAATTAAATTGATAATTTTGAAAATTTTCCAATTACTTTGTAGTTTGGTATATGTACTAATAAAATCAAGATTTTATTTTGTTTTCATCTTTAGGATCGTCCATCAACCAAAGTGAAATCTGTTCCGGGAGGAAATTCGTCACTCGGGTACTTGTTTGGAGATAAGTAGTGATTCCCTTGTGCTCCAAACTTGGTGTTACCCTAACTCCCTAAGCTATGTGAAATAGATCTATATATAATTGAATGTTTTTTTTTTTTGGTGTGTGAATTTGTGATGTGCCTTAAATAAGGGGTTTTTTTTAGCTTGTATGTTGTTCACTTAGCTTGTTGTGTGCAAAGAGTTTGATTGATGTACTTAATTAAATATATTCTATTCCGGTTGCATCGTATGTACGTGTGAATTCTTCTAATTCTAGGGTTTTACTATTTGTAAAATGTAAATTTTCCAAAATTTATTAATGAATTTCTCATCTGTGTCAAAATTAAAGCTATTAACAATGATATAATGGACTATGTATTTCATATAGCCTGGTTGTGAGATCGATCACATGACTTGTGTTTGTTTGAACTGGTTGTTATATATACTTGATGAAAATCTATGTTGATATTTCATATTAGATCTAGGGATTTTTTTATCTTGTTAACAGGATCTCATTTTCTGATATCGCGTTCTTACTCGATCTAATCATGATGAGATGTAAGGCCCTTTTTTTTTCTTCATATAGAGCACCTAAAGCATAGTTTGATTGTAAAGTTATAATTTTTTAATCTCTCAAGAAAAATTGATGCACTAGGAAGCTTTCAAAGTAATTTCTTTTATATACAATACTTGATCTTTTACCCATAATATTTTATATAAATGAAGAATAAGATGGATATAATTTAAATTAGTAAATCTTCTACTTGATGAATCTAAAAGTATGTATTATCTTGATTATTTGTTGGCATCATATACTATCCTACGCTCGCTCCACTGATGCAAATCAAACAAGGTAACTATGTTCTTGATCTATCATTTGGACTACACCCCTTGACCTTGCTTTCCCTTTCTAATTACTTATGCAATTTGATCATTATTTTCTTTTTTTTTTCTTCAATATATACATTTAGCTATTGATGATCCACGGAAACTATTATTGTAGGATCTTTCATTATACAATCTATACGTGCATGCATAAGGGAAGTTACTCGATCGAGTAAGTATTTAATTGTAGGATCATAATCACAATTTTAGGATCTTTTCATCTCTTTTCCGTGCTAGATAAAGTTTATGTCTGCACAATACTTACTATTTGAGTGTAATATATATGTTGGAAAATAGCTATATGGGTGAAGATGAGCATTAGGTCTTGTTTCCTTTCATAATTCAACCAAAGACAAACTAGGATACAAAGTGTAAATGATTAAGTTGTTTTTAGTAATGACTCAAACAAGCATGAAATAAATTTCCAAATAAAAAAAAAAAAAGAACATTTAAAGAGAAAAAACTTTTGATTAGGATCATTGTAGAAATTTCACCCTAGAATAACTTGGAATAAAAGTTCAAATCTTTGAAGAATATATATAAGAACAAAACTAGAAATTAAAGCTATATATCTTAGTCATTGATTAAAAGGAAAGGGCTAAAAGCATGAAGAACAAGGAGCAGTTTCACACTTTCTCTTTTTAATTCTTAGCACTATTTAATTGAACAATGTTTGCACTTTGTTAAATATGCATTTAGAACAATTTGTAGTTGTACGTACCAAACAAATTAACAAAATGCATCATCTTACCATGATATTTATATATACTTGTATATGTTTTCGTGCTTCAACAAAAATTTATAGTAGGAGGTTGATTGTCTCTTTATAGATTATAAGCCTTGCTTTGATGAATTGGTGATGTTACGTTCTATACGTCGTATGCTATAGACAGATAGCCTCGATCCATATATGCTTTGACAAGCTAAGCTTGGCGCGCTGGCTTTGTTATGTTCTGCCTGTATGTTAGGCTGTAAAATCTTGTACACGTACTTGGTTATGCTATGACAAGCTAAGCTTGGCATCTTAAGACTAAAGGCCATGATAATGCATATGAATAACTATAATAATGTTAAGAAGACAGTATGCATTTAACTTTGATAGATTGTTCAATTCTGTACGAAAATGCTTAGCTTGTGAGTGTGTAGTGTGAACTTGTGATAGTATAATATTTTTCCTAATGAATGTGATTACATATTAGATTGTCAGTAGTAGTCATCAAAGAAAAATAAGGTGTGTTATGCTACTTTTGAAAATAAAAGTGTGTATGTAATCTCTGCGAAACTAGTCTAAACTTATTTTGTTGTGAAATATAAGTCGAAAGAAGTTGTTGAGCGCAACACCTAAGTACCTTACCTAAACAAATTTTTTTTCAATATCGTAAGTGGTGTTTTTCACTATTGTTGTTTATAGTTTGTCCTAGTTCTCATGCGTAGAAGGGTCAGAAAACCTTGTTTGTCATCAACGTTGTGCCGAGGTTAATGCATGTCCCAGCTTTTGGGGGCACTTGGAAATGCCAAGTTAGGTGATGTTCCTACGCTGTTTAATTTGCATGTCTCTTAGCTTGCTTTTTCCTACCCTTATTAGTGGAGTTTTAATTGCAATCTAAAGACCCAGTTTTTAGGGAACTACTTTCGTCCAATCAAATTTAATTAGTATATTTCTATATTATAATTATAAATTTATAATTGAAGCACATTTGTAGGGTAAAGAGGTTACGTCAAAGCCGTTAAGCTCAATAATGCATTTTTTTATTCATTATCATTTTGATATAGAGTATAAAACTAATCATAATGCTTAAATCCAACTTCAACTTTTAATCAAATCAGTCATTTGACATGTATCAACTATCAAGAGCCGACATAAAAATAATAATATAGGTTACCTTATGTTATATATATACCCACATTTCAATTTAATATTGAAGGATTATTTGGTTGGGTTGGTGTTTTGAGTTTTTGACACGTATATGTACGATATAATATATATTAGAAATACCGTTAAAAAAATAAATATATATTAGAAATAATAACAATTTCGTTCTATAAGATAATATAAGTATATAGAATTCTATTAAAGTTTTTTTATTAAGAAAATATTTTAAGGAAATAACAATTTCATATATTGTTTCGTTAGTGCAATTATATACTTGTTGTTTTAAATTTTTTAATTTCTTTTGAATTAAATTAAGCTGAAGATTGTAAATTTTAAATTAAAGAACAGATATCAGGTTGTGCTAGGACTAGACCCGGACCGAACTGATAAAAAAAGTTCAAATCTCATACTTGATCGGTTTTAGGATTTCTCTTTTTATATTTTTGATTTTTTTTTATAATTATGTATAAATAAATTTTTAAAAAATAAAAATAATTAATAGAAAGTTAATGGTTATTATTCTTCATAAAATGGCACCAAAGCTTTGAAAAACCCTAATTTTTTTCTCAATCTTGTTTTTTCCTTTTTCTATGATCTCTCATCTTTTTGCTTATCATTAGGCTTGTGCCTACGTTATGGTAATACACAAATACATTGTTGCCTATGCTCCCTTGAGAAGATAATCAATTAATTGAGGTTAGGACTCTTAAGAAGCTGGGGAATAAGGAGTATTTTTTACACATAAAAAATGAGAAAAGGGATTACGAGAGAAATGAGTTGTATTTCACTGTCACTAATATCTATTAGAGGTGAATAATTTAACCAATAGGTAATGTAAACCAAGTTTTTGGCGTAGGAACTAATAATTGGGCATTCATTATATTTGAAGTTTTGAACTAATGACCTCAGCTCGATTCTAGAGAAATATAGTTCTGACATTTTACTCTCCCTTGCACACATTGATAAAATTATTTTGAACTAATGACCTAACCTCCATTCAATAGGTGTTTATAAGTTATATACTACCTCCGTTTCATATAATTTGTAGCGATTTAACATAAAGTAGAGAAGAAAAAATCTAATAATTGTAAATAATATGTAATGGAGGTAGGTAGTACATTGAGCACATGTTGTTGAATATACAAAGAGTACCATGTAAATTTTGTACAGTAAATTACAAATAAAAAAAAAATTAAACAAACAAAAAAACTAAACCATTTACAAATAAATTAATACCTCTAAAGGCTGTAAGTATGAGTAAAATTTATAAAATTCAGTATTTTGATAATATTAATATATAATAGGAAAAATTGATAGAAATAATCCCAACTTTGCTCGATTCGCCCAAAATAATCCCAACTTTGAATTATTTTTTAATAATCCGAACTTTAATGTGAATTTTCTTCTAATGGTCCCAATCGGTTTTTTGACTTGTAATAGTAAGTTAATTGACACGTATTAGAATGTAATTGGCCAAAAAACAAAATTAAATTACAAAAAAATAAAAAAATAATTAACTAAAAAAAACCACCACCGCACAACCACCGTCCCTGCCCCCACCCATGGTCCCCCTCCCAACTCTCCCGCTTTGGTACCTACTTACCCACAATTCTCCTCGCCGGCGCTTTCCCTACCTTTACCCCTAAACCACCATAGCATAAACCCCTGCTCAAAACTCAAATAGCCATTGATGATTTTGGTGAAGTTCCAGAAGATAAGTTTCAAGGGTGGTTCTGATTTAGAGGAGGAAGATTGTTATTGGGCTTCTGAATATTGATGTTTAATGGGCTTCTTAATGTTGATGGTAATGGTGATGATTTTGAGTATGATTTCGAGTTCGTTGATGATGATTTAGTGGATTTCGTGGGAGGAAAAGGGGATTTCGTGGTGGGGTTGTGGTGGCTAAGTGGCGACACGGACGGTAGGGGAGGGAAGCGCCGGCGAGGGTAATCGGTGGGTCTTGGCTCGACGGGGGTGGGGGCAGGGAGGTTTGCTGGTGGTGGTGGGTTTTTTTTCATTATTTATAAATACTACCTCCGTTACATATTATTTGCAACGATTAGACATTTTCCCTCTCTACTTTATGTCAAATCGTTGCAAATAATGTGTAACGGAGGTAGTAATTTGTTATATTTACTTTTTTTTTTGGAAAATTTAGAAATATTAATCCCAACTTTGCTCCGTTTTGTTTTAATAATCCCAACTTTGGATTATTCTACAATAATCCCAACTTTGGGGGGTGTTTTGTTTCTTCAATCCCAAACCTGTCAACAAAAGTCAATGACCTATTATATCAGGTCGCTTGACACGTGTCAAGTCCTGATTAGTCCAAAAAATAAAATAAAAAACAAAAAATCAGAACAGCAGCCCCCACGCCCACCAGCCTCCTCCTTTTCCACCACCGGCCCACCTTAACCCCACCATTACCCAGCCCGCCGCTGCATTTCTTTCCGGCGAGCGACCGCTGATTTCCCCTGGCTACCTCGAAACACTCTCCATGCAACACCAAGCAAACCCATCCCCCACTCCCTGAAACTCCAAACCGCTCCTCCACCACCGCAAAACCCTAGCGGCTAGTGTTTTCGAAGGTAGGGGAG